TTTCAACTTCTTGGCCGGGGGCTCGGTCCCCTTACCACAGTTCTTTTTCTTCGTGGCCCCTGCACCTTTGGACCCCCCGGCACCAGCACCGGCAGCAGCAGCTTGGGAGGACTCCTCCCCGGCGGAAGCGCCCATCGGACCCTTTTTCTTCCCCTTCGCGTTCTTCAGGGCGAAAAGAGAGCTCACGTCCATATTATTACCTGCAAAGACAAGACGCAAAATGATTGGGCTGAGGGGTAGCAATTATAGTGACATAGATTGAAAAAAACAAGGGAAAAATCCTCCAAGTACAAAACATATGCCCCTTCGGTAATCACCTCCGGCTCTCTCGAATACGCGGTCTATCGGAGGGTAGCTTTCATCCTCCGAGCCTCTCGGTCGATATTGCTGGAAGCCAAGCTTGAACAGTTCGTCCGGAAGGGTGACGTCTTTGATCTTCACGTGCTTATCGGACCCCTCCAGCTTCTTGGCAAGTATCCTACCGTTCTTCTCCAGGGCTGCACTCCGTACCTTCGGGTGACGCCGAAAGCTGTTGCGAAGCGAGGCCGGAAAGGGGTTCTCCTCCAGGCGTATGTAACAATACTTGTCCTTCCATCCCTTGTGGGACGAAGGCACGTCATCAAAGAGCCTGAACTCCGGGACTTGCTGCAAGTTGGCAAAGCCCTCAGCATTCGAATGCCCCCCCCCCCCCCCCCCCCCCCGGCACAAGTTGAAGGACATGAAAAATTGGTCGAGGGTAGGTGGAACCCCTCGGCTCCGGCACAAGGAGAGATATCCGGCCACATAATAATGGCTGTTGGGCGTTAGTTGATAGGGGGCCAGCCCCACGAACCATAGATACTCCATCAGAAAGGGGTGGAGCGGAAAGCGGAGCCCCATCTCCACTGACAGGGTATGAACAACGAAGCAGCCCTCAGGTGCATATCGTAGCAAATCATTGGCCCCTGGCTCCACCACACGTGCCGAAGGGCCAACCAGAATTTGAGTGGCCTGGTATTCAGTCGGGGATGCCCTCGTGTTCAACTCTAGGGCGGTGGTGTTCAGGAAGGAGTGGCCTTGAGGAATACCTACTGGCCGTCCGGCGTCCACGGCTGCTTGTGTCTTTTTCGGAGCAGCCCTCGTCATCTTCTTTTTCCCGGGAGCCACACTGATAGGCGTCGGGTCTAGAGGCCGGGAGGTGCTGGTTTCCCCAGCATTGCGTGCGGGGAGGACGGCCACTGTAACTTTCATCCTCTCCTCCATCTGTGCTTCATCCTCAGCTACTTGGAAGGCGATGGCTAGCTCTTCATCTTCGCACACCTGCTCAAAATCCTCGGCCTCGGCTTCGGCAACGAGGTCTTTTTGTACTTCCGTGGCTACGGCTGCGTCACCGCTCACCGAAGGCTGCTCGCTGGAAGATTCTACATCTGAGACGCTTTCCACCTCCACCGAATCCTCCCTCGATATGTCTTGGGAATCGCTAGTTGAAGACATGATAGTCCAAGGGGTACAAGGGACGAGAGTCCTAAGGCTATAACTCTTAATCTAAGGTCGTGAAGCTAAACCTACTGATACGAAAAGGAATGGATGGAAGACTGACCTTAGAAAAGAGGATTTGATCGAGGGTAAGTTTCTCTCTCTATAAATATTTCGGCAGAGCTTCGCTAACAATGAAATCGCACAAGGAAAATGGCTTGGCATTGGGGTATTTATAGGCACCCAGATCCGGGCTTGGGCCCTAAACCGGGCCTCCAGTTAACAAAGTCATCATTACACGCCGTCCCTTCCGCCAACCGGTGACACCCGCCCGGAGGTAGCCAACAGCCACACGCCACGTGGAGGTCCTCTCCAACGGCTATTTTTTAAAAACGCTTCGTATGCCAATGGTCTGATTGGAACGACTATATTTTGAAAACACAGAGGTGCCCCCGGCCGGTACCCCTCATGCAACATCACGAGTACCTTCGGACTCTCTCCTTCAGGAGCCCACGTCTTAACAACGGGTAAACCCCTCGGGGACCTTCACCAACTGTTCCCCTCGGCAACAATACTATCATCCATTTCGGACCAAGGTTTCACCTTTTCGATTCATCATTGGGGGAATTCGGTGCACTCTTTTTCCCTCATTAGAATTTTCTCCCACATGATTTTTTCTAATGAGGTTTTTAACGAGGCATCCCCCCAAAATGAAACGAAAAGCGTCGGCCTTTGGCAACGTGATAACAACGGACACTACTCTACTCCTCTTCACCACATTACATATGTCTCAAGGAGTGGAGGACTGGAGAACCCCTTCGGGAAAATCTCAAAATACCAAAAACTCCCCAAAGCAGCAACACAATTACACAACCCTTCAAGTCCCAAAATGTGGGGGACTGAGGGACTGCCTTCGGCAAAAAACTTTCAAACAGAGAACTCCTCACAACTTTACAAGCTACAACGGAACAACGGCAGAGGACAAGCACAAGTTGCTCCTTTTCCCTCAAGTACCTTTCGGCAAAAGGAGTGAGGGACTCCTGATGGAGTATATGGCCCAGGACCCCCGGCCCATAGACTCTCACTACTGTAGCAAAGACTCAACAGGCCCAGAAAGCATGGCAGGACCAAATTGCAGCGCCCCAAGTGCCAAGCAGCCCACGACGAGCACTGGGGTGCCTTCGGCCCCCTGGCCGAAGGGGTATAAATGCACAACACAGCTTCTTCAAAGTACTCAGAGTGTTCGGGAGAAAGCAGCGGATCGGTAGCCCTCGGCACCTAGGGGCCCTCGGTATGAAGAGCCTTCGGCCAATCATCTATGACCGAAGGCGTCTCCTCCACAGAATCTCCCACCCACATGCGTCGGATCAACGTACCAAGTACATACATCACATCCAACCACCGCATTTAATGCGGCCACATGCGAGTGCCAGTGCCACCCTGCTGAGGTGACCCCTCGACCACCAGAATGATGACGCGTGTCCCTATCTGGCATTTGTTACTACTATAAATAGCACTCCTTTCCTCATTTGTAAATCATGTTCAATACACTCAACACATTCTTAGCAATATCTATCCTCTCTCTTACTTTTGCTCTGACTTCTCTCTAGTTACTCCCCACAGTAACCCCTCGGATAGATACCCCCGGGTACACTTATCCATCAACATGTTTAGTAGAATATGCACCTAACTACGACCAATTTGCATGAATATGGTGTTCACATTTTAGTACAGTTTAGACTTGTATAAGCCATATCTGCACCCAACTACGGCCAATTTGCATGAATATGGTGTTCACATTTTCTGTACTCAACTCCGACCAGTTTGCATAAATATGGGGAGCACACCTTCAGGTTTTGCACCTGAAGGTGTGATAGCCCGAGGATCCAAATATGCTTTTTGTTTTTATTTTTCTTTGACTTCTTTACAATTGAACACTTCATTGTCATGTGATTAGACAATTAGAATCTATGTTTAGTTTATAAAGTTGGGTAATATGAGGATTATTCAAAGCCTTTATGAGTTTTACATTATTACTACAAGAATACAAGTAAGGATGTTTTTATTTGAACTCTTTTCAGTTCCAGATCAGCCGGACTAGTTCAGACCAGACCAGATCAGACTTGGATATTTATAAAATACATAGAGACCAGACATTTAACAGATCAGATCAAACCCGTTCAGATCAAACCAGTTCAGACCATACCAGACCAAATCAAATCAGACTAGACCAACAAATTTCAGTCTAGGTAAAAACATACTAACTAATAAAAGTGTTTTCCTCTAAAGATTGAGATAACTAAAAGACTACTCTTTTATTTTAGGATAATATAAATATATAATGACATGCTTTCAAAATTTTAAAAAGTATAAAGTACAAACCTCTCGTTTGTTAACAATTTTTTTGACCATAATAACTAAAAAACTACCTTTTACTAAAAAAAGTCAAATTTCTTTTCACATTTTTTCCCTGAGAGAAATTCTTTTTGCCTTTATCTTATAAACTTTTATAAACAAATGTCCTTGTAGCTACTTTTCAATTTATCATAAAAAAACTACTTTTCAATAAAAAATGGGACTAGTGGAGTTCGTGAATAGAGTATGAATGTATGAATAAGAGATCTATATTTAAAAGAAATAATTACATATTTATGATTAAAATAAAGTTTGTTTGCAAAAATGTAATTAGTGATTACAATAATAATGAAATCATAGTACCTTATGTTCAATTTTAAACTTAAGTTATCATAACATTACATGTAGTAACTATCAGTCATATTTATGTAAATAAGATTTATTTTAATAATATTTTTATAAAAACCCCATTTGAAAATGCAAACACCTCTCAGTTCGTCCTCACCTAAAATTCTGGATCATTCAAAAATACATTCCTTATGAACCTCAAAATTTCGTCAAATTTGATCGGTACAAGAAATATAAAAATAAAAACCATGTCATATAGTTGTATAGAGAAGAGAAAAATAATTATAACTATAAATTAATTGATTAAAATAGAAAGTCGCAATATTTTTGAGATACTAAAAATGGAAAGATACAATGTTATAAAGGAAGGATGAAGTAATGTCTAATTTACCAAATACCCCTTCTATACCCTAAATTGACTCGTACTTTTTTGACAATTCATTCAGTTAAGATTGTCTCATATCAAATTTAATAAAATTTACGTAGTATATGACTATAAATCATTTTTATTTTATTGGTACTTTTACAAATTCAATATCAATCACTTCCTTAATAATCTCAACATCTCTCTACTTTTTTGCTTATGGGCTTTTCCAAAGCATAATCAAAACTAACGACTACTTGCCCCATTTGTTTGAATCTTTGATCGCACAGTTCACACGTTAACACGTTGCTGTCTCACACTGTCTGTCACTACATTATCGGCCGATTTGAACCGGTCCACCGTAGCCGTCCGGTCCATTTGCCAGAATCCCAACAGCTTTCCATGACAGCCTTCTTTCGGATAAAAGAAGGCTCCTAATATAATCTCTATTTCCTTCTCCCTCCCGTTATTGGGTTGTACTCTGTCATTTTCTCCGCTGTTTCCAAGGTGTTGTACGTTGCCGATCTGTATTCTGTTTAAGCCCATCCCTTCTTTTCCTCCCTCTCACTCCACTTTCACACCTTTCACTTTGTACACTCACAAACCCTAGCACAGATTAGTAGAATCTTGACATCCCAGAAACCCCACAGAGGTTTATCAGCTAAAGGGTGCTCAGATTACCCGTTTTCTTGGATTTTCGTCATGGGTAACTGTATGGACACTTCGATGAAATCGACGGCGGAGATTGCGCCGGCGGACGCGATCAAGACTCAGCCGATGGTCAAACTGTACGGGACGCCGTTCAGCGTCGACACCTACTGCGTCCGTTTCGCGCTCCTCTACAAGCCCGTTGCTCTCAAGTTCGTGCCGTCCGACCAGCACGAGACGCCGGTGCTCGAGTACAAGTCCGACACAGTCTCCGGATCGATAGAAGTTCTGGTTCAGTTCTTGGATGCGAAGTTCCCGGAGCCGCAGCTGCTGAAGGGGAGCGTGGGCGGGTGGCACGGCGAGACGACGCCGCTGGTGGTTTGGATTGCGACTCTGCAACACCGGAGCATGATGTGGCACCTGGATCGGATGGTGAGGTGGGCGGAGGATCTGTCTGATCGTGGGGGAAGGACGACGGGTGATCCGGCGATGGGGAGCCCTCGGATGGAGATTAGGAAGTTCGCCAAGAGATATTCTCAGCTGCTGGAACTGTTCTTGGAGCATGCTCAGATGGAAGAGAGGGTTCTCTTCCCAATCTTGGAAAAAGCTGATCGAGGTATAATTATCATGTACAGTTATTACTTTTTATGTAATTGCCATATTCATTTTTATGGATTTGTGTTCACTTTATTTGGGAAAGTAAGTAAAACCATCCAGCCCATTCTGTTCTTATAATAGACATTCTATTAATGTGCATTATGTACAATTGATGAAGACTTATTTGCTTATTCTTGTTAGGAAAAAATATTAACCTGCACTCCTAGTGTTGATTTTCCACCGTGGATCAAATAATCATGAACACAGAATATTAGAATACTATTGATGGTATATACTATATGGGATGGTGGTTATGATTGTTCAGAAGATTTAGGCCCCCATTGATAGCATTAAACGGTTAACAGAAGAATCAGATTAAGTGTAGTTTGACTTAATTGTTCTGTGTGTGGCTGAAATTCATTTAATCAAACATGTTTACTTTCAGAAAGTTCCGCCAAATAATCCATGCCAAACGGGCTGTAGTGCTGAATTGATTTAGTAAGGAGACATTTTCAAAAAAAAATCTGAAAACTAGAGACTTAATATACAACTAACATTATACATACTGTTACAAAAGTAAGAGGGAAAGAGGAACCTAGGAATTACATCTTCTTTCTCTGTACGACTGTTGGGGGTTGACAAGGTTCCTGTTCGGAGCCAGACTAGCAAGAACAGGGAACCGAATTTTGGATACAGGATCTGGCAATTCCTCTTTTTCTTTTGGATTGTTAGCATAAAAAACTTCAAAATAAATTGTGGTTCATATGGGATGGATATCTGTGTCCATTGCCGAACCCAAGAGGGCATGTTTTATACTCTTCAGTTTTATATTGAATGGTAATAATTGATTTCTGAGGTGTATGGACTTTGGATGATGGTGATGCTTCTTATACTAGTAAGTAGTTATTACGGATGCATTTTTATGGAACCAGCGGGAAGTTTAATTAAAACAGTTTAATTAGAAGAGGGAAATTATCCTGATGCTATTTTTATATTTTATTTTATTACTTCCCTATTAGGAATAGAAGTATTAGATGTTATAGTTTCTGTTAGATTAGAACTCTATCATGTAAAGGCAGGATGCCTATTTATATTCCTTTTTCAGCCTTAATAAAATCATCGATTATTAGAAGAATTAATCCCAGAGAGAAGTCACAGACTTCCCCCCTTCCCCTGCGCTCTTACTACGCTCTTCCAGCCACGGGCAAGAAGAGGAGTAACCCTAGCAGGCAGGTTACCACCTCAACCGGGTACCCTGCTACCCCAAGTCGTCCCTGGACCCGTTCTCAGTCCCAGAACCCTAACAGTAGTATCTATTGATTATTTTATCTGTCATGTACATAGGATTGTGCAAAGGTGCAAACGAGGAGCATGCAAGAGATCTGCCGGTAATGAATGGTATCAAAGAAGACATTAAATCCATAGGAGTTCTTGATTCAGGGAACCCTGTCTTCCAAGAAGGCCTCTCCAATCTTTCAACTCGCCTTAAAACCTTACAGGTATGTTGTTACTGGTTATACACCATTTCTATGAACTTTAAGGGTATGTTTGGATCCCAGAAAATGCTAGGGAAATGATAACAGGAGGAAAAGTGTAGATTAAAACTGGACAGAAAGAAAATGAGAAAAATGTTCCATAAATCAATTTTGTATATTTGTTTGAACTCGCTTTTATTTTTAGTACTTTTTTATAAAGACTAAGAAATTAATTATGCTAGCACATTTTTTCCTTAGCATGTTCTATGATCAAATTTGTCATAAAACAACAACAATCATACTTCAATTTATTTATTACAAAACCAGGAACATTCAAAAGAGCACTTTGAGGAGGAAGAGAAGGAGTTGCTGCCGCTATTGGAGGCAGCAGAGTTGAGCAAACTGCAGCAAGTGAGTGCATTAGAACAGTGTTTGGAAGCGATGCATGGGACGCACGCCCACCTGTTCCGGTTTTTCATGGAAGGACTCCTTCCCCAGGAGGCAATGCAGTATATGGACATCATTTCCAAGTGCAGTGACAAGGACCGGGTGTGCAAGCTGTTCCGGTTGGTTGTTGAGAAAGAGAATAGCTTTGGCAGCGCCATGGGCGATCCCCATTAACATTAACAAACACGGTGATGGCGATTGGTTTTTGCTTAGCCCGCTGGTGAAGGTCAAACTCTTCACACAGTTCGTCTTTTAGAGTGACTTGACAGTTGGTTAGTTTCCTTTTAGAGTGGATGCGAGAAGCACAAGAATTGAATGAGCAAAAAGTGGTCTATTTGTAGATGGGGTTCGTTGGTTACTTTCCTTTACATGTTCTTGCCTGCTTAATATGTAAATGATGACGACGAACTGCTATATCTTTTTCTTTGTACGTAAATAACAAGTTCTAATTTGGACTATTCTCATACAAATGATGAGGATGGACCAAGTTTTAGAGGTCGACTGGATTTGATTGGGTAAATCACCCGAACCATAATAAAGGACAACGTTTGAATACATGGGACTGGATTGAGACTGGGTACCGGAAACTGGCCCAGCTTTAGTATGGTTTTGGTTTTGGTTCCGGTTCCTCAAAAATGGGACTGGATTCGATAAACTATGCATTAGAATTTAGAAATCGTGTCCCTCCAAAATAGTTTATTCTGACAATGCTATTCAAACTTTTTCCCATAAGCTCTCATACTATACCGAAAAAGTCGATTAGGCTCTCGTACTTTACAAACACTCAATTAAGTCCCCGAACTATTAAAAAACGTTCAATTAAGCTCTTTTGGTCGGTAAGTAACCGGTTTCCCGGTTAAATGTAACATGTTTCCTGGAAGCTGTTGTTGCTGGAGTTCGAGCACATCGTCGTCATCGTCGTCGTTTAACCGGGAAATTGGTTACTTACTCACCCAAAGGGCTTAATTGAACGTTTTTAATAGTTCGAGGGCTTAATTGAGTGTTTGTAAAGTACGAGGGTCTAATCGACTTTTTCGGTATAGTACAGGGGCTTATTTGATAGTTTTCCCATTTTTTATAGATGTTGTTAATTTCGTCGATGTCTTTACAGAGTTTTCTGAAATTGCTTACATACATTATTTTTGTGATTTCATGAAAGAAAAGTTTTTAAAATATTATGCATACATTTTACCTAGGGATGGACCAAACCGGGTCGGTCCGGCCCTGAACCGGTCCGGCCCGCCACTGTGCGGGCCCGGCCCAGCCCGGTTACGGAATGGGCGGTGCGGGCTTTTACCTGGCCCGTGGGAGGCTAGCGGTTCGGGCACGGTTCACAAAAAGGAAGGCCTGGCCCGGCCGGTTCGGGCCAACGGCTATATTTAAAAAAAATAATCTTTTGGCTACCAAACAGGTCCTTAGAGCCGTTGTGGTTGAACCCAAACGGCTATATAGCCGTTGGGAGCCTTCCTAGGGTCCAGGGGTGGGTTAGGGGTGGGTGGGGGGGTGGGGGGGTAGGGGTACAAAAAAACTATAAATACTCCATTTTTTCTATACAATTTACTACACATCTTCTCCAAATATTCCTACTCTCTAATCTCTATTCCCTACTAATTTATTATTTATACATCTACTTTATACTTAAGATGGAAAATCAAGATGCCGTTATACGGTATAGTTTTGATAAGCAGAAGGACCCGAAGACCGGGATGTGGTACGTAACTTGTAAATGGTGCGGGGAAAAATGTAGCATGGGGGTTTCAGGCGGATACGGGATGGCAATGAAGCATATGAAGTCATGTGACAAAGCCAAAGGATCGGGAGGTGCGGGAAATTCCGATTGATTACAATTTACAAAATGTTTGTCTCTTGAAGTTTGTTTTAATTTTCAAATGTAGTTCCTATTTCATTTCAAATAAATGCACTTGAAGTTTGTTTTTAATACTTGTATAAAACTATAAACTATAAAATATAAATTATAAAAAAAAATCTTTAATCGGTCCGGCCCGACCCGGCGGGTGGCCTGACCCGTGACCCGGGCGGGTGGCCCGGCCCGAACCGGACCCATCCAACCCTCGGGCCGGTCCCGGGCCCATGTCATACAAACCGGCGGCCCGACCGGGCCTAGGCCCGGCCCGGGCTCGACCCGGCCTGAGTCCACCACTAATTTTACCTATTTATTCTATTGCTTTCTGTCTTGATTCTCGTTTCAAACTTTCGCATTATAAATAGGGGTGGACCGGTTCTGGTTCGGGCCCGGTTCGGGCCTGGGCCCATCCGGGCCTCGGTTCATGAAAGGGGAGGCCCGGAATCGGCCCGGGTAACCTCGGGTCTGGATCGGGCCAGGTCGGGCCTCGGTTCTTATATTTTTTTTGGCTTTTCCTAATTAACCCCCAACCCTCCTCCCTCACCCCCAAACCACTCCAAACCACCTCAAATGGCCCATCATACCCAACCCATCCCAAAAACTTAAAAAAAATTCAAAAAAAAAAGAAGAAAAAATAATTTGGCCCGGACCGGGCCCGAACCGGCCGGGCCGGTTCACGATTTAGGATGCCCGGGCCCGTCCCGCCTACCTCACCGGGCCGAGTGGCCCGAACCGGGCACCAACCGGTTCACCGGGTTGGTCCGGGCCTGCACAGTAGCGGGCCAGTCCGGTTCCAGGCCGGTTGGCCCGGGCCGAGTCCACTCCTAATTATAAAACATTTTTAGAATACTATTATACTGCTTTTTACGGTCCATTCCCTATGTACGAAGACACACCTATAGATCCTCAAGCCCAATTCAACGAGGTTAGTAATCTATTTCACGCTTTATTTAATGAGTTTCATGCACAATATGGTAATGCACCCCCTACCCCAATACCGCATGCTTCCTCATCTAAAGGAAGAGGTTTTTTAAAATCAACAATATCTATAATCAACTTCTGCCGTTGCACAAAGCTCGATTAACGAGCTCTCTTTATATCTAACGTTTCCTATTGAGTATAATGAAGCGGGAGACTTTGATATCCTGCAATGGTGGAAGAAACACGAAGGGATGTTTCTGGTTTTATAAAAAATGGCCAAACACGTGTTGTCAATGCCGATTTCAACTGTTGCCGTGGAACAAGAGTTTACCCTAGCCGGTAACGTTTTAATTGACTATAGAATGAGGTTGAGTGTTTCATCTCTCGAGACACTCGTTTGCTTCCATGATTAATTGAAGGCCCATTGTAGAACACAAGAACTCAACATTGCACCGGACCGCCATTTCATGGAGGAAACGACAACTGACGCCGGAAGCGACGACAACGACGATTTGTTCATGTATTGTAATTTTCATCTTTAAAGTATTCTCAATTGTAATTTTCAAATGTGATATTGTTACAAGTGACATTGTAGTGTTTATAATAATAAATATACATCATGTTTTTATTTTCCAATGACTAAAAAAAGGACCGGACCAGATCGGGATCGGCCGGGTAGACCGGACCGGAACCGGGTCCGTAAAGAACCGGTTCGGTTCCGGTCCTCAAATATAAAAACCGGGATCGGCGGTTCTGGGATCGGAACCGGGTTCGGTCCGGTCCGGGTCCATCCCTGATATAAGATAATCTGACTAACCGTTGAGAGTGAAAATTTTCTCTTCCACATGTAGTGCTTTTAGGTATAACATAAGTCGATTAACAATTGAACGGAAGAATTTTTTCTTTCATATTGCATGGACTTATACTTTATGGTATTAGCTTATTGAACTCTTATTTTTCGAAAATGTAGAATCTTAAAAAGTTATTTTTACTTTAATATTTAATTAGATAATGAGTAAAAATATATGCACCGACTACTCTTTCCCGTGTGTATGCACGGGTACTATACTAGTAACAAATGAAAGCTTGAGAAGGAAAAAATGCTTGAGAAGACGAAAGCCTTGAATGCATTACACACGTATAGGAGAGAAGGAACAGAAAGCACTTTCAGTTCCACTTAGGGGTACGTGGTTCGGTACGATATACTGAATATTTTATCTCATACATTTGTCGTACCAAAACTTTTTGTATACAAAATTTATACACCGTTTCCTTACCGAAATTTCATTATACCAGATTTCAATATACCGAAGTTTTTGGTTCGGTAACGGTAAGGTATCGGTAAATTACCATGCATGTCATAGACTAACGAAATATACTAAATTGGTGTTAATAGCGACATATTTAATCCATTATTAAAATGTTAGAAAATACAATTAATAGTCTATTGATGTCATATTTAATATTGAACAATAATTATTATTAGTATATTTAAGCAGTTCAACATTCCACGTATTAAAAAGTAACACATTTTTCTAAAATAACTTGAACAATGTAGATATAATTAAATCAATAGTGATATTTAACAAAAATAAGTAAAGTTATTCAAACAACATTAATATAAAACCATTTATTCCTAAGGCTAAATGGTCAAATGGCCCCTGTACCTTTCCAGATTGTTCAATTTGCCCCCGAACTCAAAAAAGTTCCAATTGGCAGTCTAAACACCATAAATTTCAAATTTCAAAAAAGTTCTCGTATTGCATATCTAATACTCCAGAACTGGGCAGAACCTAGACAGGGGCAGAATTGGGGCACTGTCCCGGACTGAGCCAGTACAAAGAATATTTTTGGAAGAATTTTACACGAAACTTTTTACCCTAAACATATAGTCATTTTTAAAATCCGAGGTGGACCAAAGCCAGGGTTGCTCCCTAGCTATGCCCCTGAACCCAGTGATGCAGTGATCCAAACTCTCTAATTGTGACATCGACACTGAGAGATTCTTGGTAGAGGTATGACCCAATTGGATTTTTCTTCTCTTCTGGTTGTGTTGATTTTGTTCTATGGTGGTTCTTTCCCGGGCACAGGTGCTCCAAGGTGGTTTGTGTCTCTCTCGATGTGGGAAGTTATGTTGGTGTTCCGGCTAGCTTCGTCTGGTCAGGGGTCTCTGTATGCTTTCTTCTAGAGTGTGTAGACATTGGTAGAGCTCGTCCTCTTCCAGAACCACCTCTGTGCCATGAAAGTTTTGTGGAAAAACTTTATTTCAAATTTATTTTTTCATTAGTAGTACTTGTTTTTATTATAGTTTCAGTAGGTTTGATTTGAAAATTTGGGCTTCTAGCATACATTTGATTGACATTATTTTAGTCCTGATTGTTTTATGTTTTAAAATTCCCGTTTCGTGTCTAGCGAATCAAGTTGATATGTGTGAGGTGACTGATTCTATTTCTATTCCCAGGGCTCACAATAGAATTTGTCATAATTGTCCGGATGTTATCTTGTACTCTCTCCGTATCACAATAAATGTCCCAGTGTCCTTTTGTGGCCGTATTAAAATAAGTGTCTTACTTTCATTTTAAGAAATAAACTCACCCCAAAAGCAGCTATTATACATTTTAATAAAGTAAACGATACTCTTACAATAACAATATTCTCACACTTTTTCAAAAAATGCAAAATAAACCCATAAATCATCTAAAATTGCGTGAAAAAGACTAAATATAACATTTTTTAATAGGGAGGGAGTATCCTTTGTATTGGGAATACAAA